TGGCCCCAGGGGTTGGGGTAGGAATCCCAATTTTACAATTTTGAAGCCTCATCTACCAAGGATGATTCTGACCAAGTTTGAAAAAAATCCATCCACTGGTTCTTGAGAAGAAGTTGAAAATGTAAAAGTTTACGCACGACGCACGACGGACGACGACGGACGAAAAGCGATTAGAATAGGTCACTTGAGCAAAGCTCAGGTGACCAAAAAATAGTCCAACACTACAGATGTACGTTTACCAGTGGTTTATTTATGGAAAGTGCACTTCATGAACTCGTTAAGTGTATATAATTACTACAGATCTACAAGGATATCAACAACGAAATAACAAAAATTACAGCGGTATATAAGTATTTGTGGACACATGACATTTTCAAAACATAAACATGTAAATAATAATCAAAATCCAAACGACAAAAAAAAAGGTTTCAATATATATAATTCTGTTTTATTTTTTTTGAAATAATGATATATGAGAAAATGCCATCGGGACAGACTCAATATCATTAAAACTACCAGCATAACTATAATTTAAAATTAAAACATATCAAACACGAGAATTATATATATGATAAAAAAAATATTTAAAGCACACAGACTAAACTAGAGTGATAAAACCGAGACTAGATATTATAAAATCTTTAAGACAGATCAAACTATGGACTAGTGGTAAGATGATAAAAACTTCAGATGGTTGATATTTTTCTTTTTACATTCAAACACATGAAATTCATCAACTAACAGCAAGCACGATCGGGACTATATATACATTTACCACGGTAAAAACGAGACTACTATGCTTAAAAACATTAACATGAACCAAAAACTCTGAAAAAAGCACATCAAAACTGTTGATAAAATAGGAAAACCTATTAAAAGCTAAACTACCACTTACGAGTAAACAATGAAGAAAATTAAATTATAAAAAACACAATTTAAACAAAATAAATGTTAAATATAACATTAACGTGAACGAACAAAGTTTGGTATCAGAATATACACAGTTAAAGCGAAACGTCAACGTAACAGTTGGTATTCTATTGATCCTGTGATCATAACATATTGGATTATTAATAAAACCATCAGTGTGCCATTCGATGTTCATAATACATGTCGCTTTGAACTTTCTCATTTTTTATTTTTATAACGACCAAGTCAATATATCCGTTCGGGTAACAAGTGCGCGAATGTTCATACCATTATACAGCACGATATATTTCAATACATACAATTTCAATGTATAGGAAAGTCACACGAACATTTAATTTACATTTCTAAACCCACGTAAAACACAATACAGCGTGCACACTCTACCGGTAAATCTCATATACACCGCATTTATGTCACTCTACAAGTACAAGGTCCCGTGCACCGAAAAGCACAACACATTTCATTACTGGTTCCCTGTAACCACGCACGCGCACATGCACCGTATACGTAACAATTCATTTCATAAGCAAGTACCTCACCATCATACAACACAACATAATTCATTTGCGTCGACCCACACATCCACATACAACACAAGACATTGCATTGTCAGAAAGACATACGTATTTTTAGTCTTACGTATCCAAAAGCAGCTAAATACATTTCATTTCATTTCATTGAAAAAAAGAAATCACACACACGAGGCAATACATTTTTCAGTCCGGTACGTCTATATAGGACAGTCCCACATCTGGTCCCACATCCGGTACAATTTTATCCACATAACTGTTCTGTATGTACAGCACACAGAGTGCTAATTAACATGCACAGACAAATTACAATACATATATTTCATAGCACAGTTGTAATTAAGTCCCATTATAGAGTAAACAACATATTAATTACCTTGTACAGGCAAGTCCCACATCCGGCAAAATACGAACATCACTGTACGGCAAGTCCCGTGTACAGCGTAAATGATTCATTTATTGGAGCTTTGATGTATGTGGGATTTACCCGTATGTGCTACTTAATTTTGTGGGGCTCACATATACAAGAAAGTACAA